TCTCAGCTGAAACATGCTATAATTCTATGATTTGTCATCTTCAGTCATGACATCACATCTAAAATGTAATATGTAAATTCTGTGACGGGAATCACCTCCCACCCTTACTTTTTTGTCTTAATCACTAGTTATTCAACAAAGCACCTAAACTTTAATCTATTCAGGTTTTAATAATGCATAAGAGACCTACTTCAAATCAGAGATTAAACCCTCAGATTAAAAAAAACATGGCTCCTTCAAATAGGTCAAAGTGCGCAGAAAAATGTCTTAGGTGGCGGTGGCGATGCCATACCATCAATTTCTGCACAACCTGGGCTTCCATTTAAAATCAAATGAGTGTGTTAACCCTTAGTTGTCAAGAAAAAACAAAACACTACAAAATTTTCCAATTAAAAACAGGGTATAAAGCAATGCAGTGCTGTTCCTCTCAGCCTGCCCACAGTTCCTCTCCAGCACTTGGCCATATTTTCACTGCAGTTTAGGTCAGTTTTCACTGCTGATTTTCAGAACTATTTGAGCAGCAATAAAACTCGTAATGATGAGGACAGTTTGTCTGTTGCGAGCAATAAGAGGTGGAAAATATCAAAACGAAGCAGGAGGATCCAGACTGGACTGAAGCTAAGGTAAAGTAACTGTTTTTCGCATGCATACCTCACAGAGGAGGAAGGGCTAACAAAGAGAGAGAGAGCGTGTACACTTTCTCCATTACATCAGTCAGAGGGGTTAGTGGTTAGGATTTAAATGTATCGTACCCCAACTAGTCAGAAGCTATGAAAAGCTAGACATCCTAAGTGGGGTATATGGATGGCTGAAAACCTGGTAGGAAAAAGGTAACTACCATTTTCCCAGCAGTTTCGGAAGCTTGGCTTTTTACCTGGCATTGCCAACATCACTCTTTGGTTGGTGTGTGTAGCCCTCTGATTTAAGTGTCTTGTAAATTCTGTAAGAAAGTGTGTGAAAAAGGATGGGATTAAGGATTAATGGAATGAATTAGCAAAGAAATAGACATAAAAGCTAGAGAGGTTGTTGGGGGAAAGCGCGGTGGCAATAAATAGGAGAATGAAGAGGAAAACATAGTGGTGAAATATGGGGAAAGAAAAAGAGGAAAAATCGGGGGGGCAGGGGCGCATGTGGGAAAAAAACAAATGAAAGAAACAGTGAAACCAAGAAGGAAAAGAGTGTAAAAAGGCAAGAGACAGCAAGTTATGCTTGTAAAAATTTATTAAATGGAAAGTTGATGGACAGCATCACAATTAAATACAGGACATTATAAAGACTACAGAACAGTTAGATTTCTTTAATTGCCGAGGCAGTGGGTTTTGGGGACACAGGAGCTATTATTCTTCCTGACTAGTAGGCGCAGTCCTTCAGCTAGTAGATGTCAAGTAAACATTCAGCTCAATATCCAAACACGTCATCACTTTTGCCTATTGTAAATAAATCACTGCTCCACACTGAGAGGACAGATTGTTGAAAAGTACAACCACTTCCTGCCAGAAGTGATAAAACCTCAGTCATCAATGACTGCTTTCATGTGGAAATTTGAGACATCATCCACTTTAAGGTTTGTGTCCATTCAGAAGGCCGAAGAGGGTTAAAAAAAGTTATGGTTACGGACATGATGCAACAAAATTCAAAATACTTGTAAAAGATGGGAGTTCGTTCATTTCTCTAAGACTATAAAAGATCAAATTAAGGAAAAGTTTATATATTATACATAAAATACATATGCACCTTTACCTATCTAGCGGGGCGGGAACTTCTTGACCCATTCTATTCTAATTGCAAAGAAATTTGACCCTGATCCATTCAACTCTTGAAAGTTTTTACAAAAAAGTGCTTCTAGCTCTAAATTCAGAGAAAGTCTTTCTGCAGATAGAAAAAAAATCATTTCATTGTGATGACCAAATGTGACAGCAGTGGAAACCGGGCTGAAAGCATGATAGCAGTAGTATCTGATGTAAAGCATTGGGAACTATAGGCAGGAAGGAAGATCTGAAGTTTGGGGGTTGGAATTTGGGGCGGGGAGGGGGGGGAAATAAAAGAAAAAAGTTTCATTTTCTTAGACTTAAGAATTGCCCTACAAAACAGTAGAAGAGACTTGCTTCTAACTGGGCAGAGGTTTGCCAAAGAAAGTAAGATGTAACAAGAATACCTCTGCACTAAGTTAAATTATACATTTTCATGTGCTATGTACGTTCTTAATTATCAAATCCCTTTGTCCAGTGGTTCTCAACCTGTGGTCCATAGACCCTGGAGTCTGGAGGCTATATCCAAGATTTCCACACAGGTCCACGCCTCCATTCGAAATTTTTAGGGGGTCCGCAAATGAATGACGGTTGAGAACCACTGCCTTAGTCATTGGTTGGACACAAAGTACACAATATCAGAGATGTAGACAATAGCAAAGATGAACCTAAATTTTATGTGCAGGAATAAACTGATATTTTAAAAGCTTTTGTGGTTTTCTCTTGCATAATAGAACTAAATCCAGACATTCTCTCTCCAGGATCAGAGACATTCACGTTCTTATTTTTTGTGTTATTTTCATCTTAGTTAAGGTTCTCTTCATTTGAGGAACTAGAATGATAATGTAAAAGTTATTGCTCTTTGTTTCCAGATAAAAATTATGCTAACATGGACTTAAGGTTGAGTGTATATATAGGTATTTTACAGTTACAAAAAACAAACCAGGATGGTATAATTGTCCCTGAAACATATTTTACACCATGGAAATTCAGAGTTAAAATGAAATCTTATGCTAAGATTTGTTAACATGTTGTTGATGTGTTAAGGTACAGAAATGCAATTAGGTTACCCCACTGTTAGGTAAACTCTGCCCTGCCACAACACCATGCAATAACCATTAATTATGACTAAAGCATTTTATCATCTGTAGTCAGACAGATTCAACTGATTTTTCCCCCTTCATGGCATGACTACAGGGCAAAGTTAGGTTACTTGGTTATCCCACCTGTGCATTTCCATACTTTAAGATTAAATTTAAAAAGTCCAGATATACATTAACACGGATTTTTCTGCATTTATAATGCTTATTATGGAATATTACATCATCCTTATATCACATATACTAAGATTAAGTTAAGGTTGAGGATATACAATTTGTGCTTGGGAATTTACTTTTTAATTAAAAGTTTCAGACATGAACACTGAATTCAAACCCCAAAAGAGAATGTTTACATATGATATTTCCTGTAATATGAAGAATCAACCTTAATGCTTTAAAATTAATTAATTAAAGAAAAAAAAAAGGTAACTTTTAGGAACAGGATGCCTTGGCTGCTTTATGCTTCTACGGAGCAGCAAAGCAGTCAGAGTGTACTGGCTAGTTGAAATGGATTTACGACTCCCTGCAGCACAAAGTGTACCCCCAGTTTCTCCCTCCCTCCTGCACATCACACCCAAAATCACTGCTCCATCCTACACTCCCCACATCCCCCTGTACTCAGAAGCCCTAGTTTTTCCCTTCCTCCCTAATTTCTCTGCTGACAACATCTGGTGCAACAGGTAGGTTTTTGACAGCAAAATTTAGGATTAATGGTAAGTGTCTGACATTCTTCATAACTCTCAGTCCGCAGAGACAGACAGATGATGTCCTACTTCAGATAATTACACAAAAAATGGCCATTTGGAAAGAGGACACATCTTTTATTACTCTCAATGTGAGTAAAGCTAAGCTTCCCAAAACAGGGAAGATAGTGGCCCCTAATAGCAGAGAGGGCCACTATCTTTTCTGCTGACTGCAGCTTGGCCTCAGTCCAACTGAGAACAATCAGACATGGCAGCAATTTTAAGAGGGCACTTCTTCATAGAATTCTCTGAAGCAGATCATTTGTCAGCCTCTGCTGAACAATAAACTTTCAGTTATGAAGAATATGGCAAAAAATTACTGTTAATCCAAAAACTATTCCTTCAAATGCAGTCTACACACATTTTAGTTTTAGCTAGAAGGAAAGTTTGAAAATGTGTTACTGATATCATTAGAGACAAGAGAGCTTTGAGGCCAGTTGCTACAGTTCTAAAAGGACGTATTTTAAAATACATTTTAACTCAAATTAATGGATTTATTTATAAATTCTCAGAAAATTATTGTATATTCAAAAAAGTGTTGAAATTTTGGGGTGGAGACACTGTATTATATATAAACTAAGTGGTAGAATCACTGCTACTTAATTCAACCTCAAACATGGAGCTGCAAATGGTGCCTTCATAATATGCTGAAAAGTTGTGAGGTTTTTTTAAATTCAGCATAGCATGACCAGTCTCTTACATATGAAAACGGTGGATGTTTATTTAGAGAAAAACAACAAAACTTGAATATGGGTGTCCATTTGAAAAGCATCTCAGATTCTCCCTAAAGTCAGATCTTTTACTACTGTATATGGGTATATGCTGCTCAATAAGTGAATGAAAAAACGTATGCCGTATGTTTCAGATGATATTTGTTCAAAGCATTAAAGAGTGTATCAAAATAAAAACAGAAACAGACTCATGAAGTTCTCAGTCTTTCCCTCTTTGCCTGGAGGATGAAAGTGTATAAAAGACCTCTTCTGTTGAACATAATCTCCTATCCACCTGAAAACTCTACCTTGAAAATGCAGACTATTTTCCCCAGAGTAAAAATGGGTTTATTTTATACTCCATAAAAGTAGTCTTATAGGTCAACTTTTGAATATATACATAAACTTAATCATTCGGTTCCTCTAGCTCTAAAAATCATCAAGATGGGGTGGCTGAGTTAAGATACTGATACTTGTTAAGAGATCGTTCTGTTCCTAAAATGTGCTTTTATTAGTCAAAACAGGTTCAAAATTACTACAAGCTAATACAAACTCTTAGATGATGCTATGACAAACTCTGATTAACGCAGAAGAATCTGAAAAATAAATTGCTGAAAGTGAAATGTTCTTACTGAATTTTTTTCATTCTGTAAGATACTTGATAAAATGACAAAAGTCAAAAATCAAAAGAATCCTTACCCATGAATTAAGAGTCCATATCCTTTGTGAAGAGTCAAGTAACTCAGGGTGATGCCTACCCCAAAATAGGTAGTTCATTATCATTAGGGACCTGAAAGTAAAGCACAGTAACAAAAGACAAATCACAATCACACTTCAAGGTCATAACTTAGATCTGATAATTCAGCTACTGAGTACATCTATGGCACTGATCACTTGGGAAACATGAGAATCTCCATGTATTCATAAATAAGGGAGATTTTTAAAGCAATTTTGCAAATTTCTATTTGCTCACTTACCTAAGATAAGTGAAGTGTTTTTTTTTTTTAATATGACTGGAAAAGGACAAAATGAAAGGGAGAAGGACCATCATTGTAATAGAGATGTAGCCAGATTTTGTGCTGGAATTTTAAATTTTTTATAACTATTTAAAAGTGCTTAATATAAAAAGTATGATAATTTTCAAGACTGAATAAAACGTGTTCTTAAGGGCTAAGGTTTAAACTTGCCAATGCTTATACAATAAACTATTTAGCTGATAGCAGAAAGGAAAGTCGAAGGTTGCTGTGACTACACACCAGGGCTTAACAGATGTTTTTGCCAATATCAAGTAATATTGCTGAATTGGGGGAAGTGCACTTACTCGACAGTCATGCTCCAATCCCCCATTGGACATAGCGGGGAGTGGAGCCCACAGAGCCTAGAAGAGGCACCAAATGTGCAAACACACTGCAGGGAAGGGGAGGGGTGAGGGGAGAAGTAAAAGCTTCTGGGATCCCTGGAAGAGAGAAAACACAATGAAGCATACCATTCCCCTTCCCCAATGCTGCGTGGGAAGGAAAAGGGGGGAAATAAGTGGATTTGCATTCTAGATCAATATGCGTTTATAGATAGATTTCCCCGTACAAAAACATGATCCTTTTCCTAGGCAGATAGAGCAGCCTTAAATTCTGTTAAATACAAAAAGAACAGGAGTACTTGTGGCACCTTAGAGACTAAAATTTATTAGAGCATAAGCTTTCGTGGACTACAGCCCACTTCTTCGGATGCATAGTCCACGAAAGCTTATGCTCTAATAAATTTGTTAGTCTCTAAGGTGCCACAAGTACTCCTGTTCTTTTTGCGAATACAGACTAACACGGCTGCTACTCTGAAACCTGTTAAATACAAGCCTTCTCAGGAGATCTTTCATTAACGTACACTCAAATTTATTAGTGAAGTGTTATTCTTAATTTTATATCATTTTATTTTTTGAAACTTCACAGTATTTTAATCAGGATAACTGGAAAACGAGTTGTATCTTCCAAACAATGCACACCACAGTTATCAGGATAACAAGAACTGTTTGTCATAAGCTGGTAACTTCATGTTAAAACTGTATTTAATACGCACTCTTGATATACATGCTGCAATATCTGCTCTTCTTTTCTCATTTAATAACTTGTAAACTCATTCTGAAGTTGGTAGACTGAAGTATGCCTAGCCTACTTACAGGCTGTTCTATGTTAGGAATTCTTGAACCCTAAAAAGATTGATTGTGTCTAAAACAGTTAGACAGACACCCGTCTGAAACATCCTCTAATCTGCCCTCTACTGTCTTAGGGGATATGTACAAATTTTGGAATAGCCACAAAAATTTCCTTTAGATTTTCTTTTTATACTGCGATTTCATATCACAACAGAAAAAAAATCAGAGATCCCTTCAGAGATTCAAAAACCTCTCTTCCCATCTGTCAATCAAGTTCAGAACCCATACTTCTAGAATTTAACAGTCAACTATTACTAAATATACAAACAACTTTTCTGAATAATAAAGAGTTAATTGGTTAAGAAGTACTACAAACAGGCTAATTTATAGCATAAGGTTTTGCAATACACAGATTAATGGTATTTTATTTTCAACGGTATTTAATTTAATCTGGAAAAAATAAACCATGATCTTGGAATCAAACGTTGCCCTCCCCACTAGTTTACAAATTAAAAATATCACACTTAGAGATTTCTGCACTTACCAACTGTGGCAAACATCAGCTTGCTTAAATGTTTTGTTATCTGAAACATAGCTGTCAATCACAAATTCTTCCTCAAACTGATTCTGTCAATAACTCAGAAAAAAGAGGATTCTCACTCCTCTAGCCAATAGAGACCACTTGCTTGACCAGCCTCAGATATTAAGACAACCATGGAGTATTTGTGGCTTTGAAGAATCTTGTGTTAAAAAGAAAAAAGAAACATAAAAGATGAAGTAATGAGAAAAATAAGGCATTATTAAAGCATTAAAAAGTGTTACCCATGCAAACAGACAGCTCAATGACAATTACACCAATACGTTCATAAAAATATCTATGCAAAACTACAGAAAGCTGCATGCACACAGCTTAGTCACAGTCAAAGAAAAAAATAGGATCCAGCCCCGTCTCATATTTCTCGTTTATTTAAGCAGTATTTCTTTACTTGGTGCTGTCAATTAGTTATTTTGCCAAACTTATAGTAAGTAGTTACATGATGCATCAACTCAAAAGGAGTTCAGTAAAGCTTCTGTGGTTTCTATTGTTTGCCCTGAAATGTGTGGATGGGGTTAATATGTTGTATATAAATTGTAAGGACCAATTTTATCAACATGAACTGGAATGAAGATTTTTTCCAAACATGGCTTGTTTGAACAAAGCTAACCTAGAAACAACACCTTTTAAAAATGATCTGCCATTACCCAAACAAGGAGGCCAGTATTCTTTTGTAAAACAACAACAACAACAAAAATCTTCCTCAGCATACATGTACACATACCTATATTACAAACTGTACAACTCTGAAAATCCCTAACACACTCTTGATGGAGCCAAAGCATCACCATTTCAAAAAATCCTTTGGAACCATAAACAAAAATAATCTACCTTCATTCAATTTAGACTCTCCATATACATTAGTAAAAAGTGGAATATACTATTTATTTCAGTTTATTTGGGATAACCACTCTGCTCCAATTGTAACAAATTGTGATATCACATAAAACTCATGATAATAGAAAACTGGTGAGTTAAAGACTATTGACTTGTATGTGCTTATGACCAAGTGCTTCTTGTATACAACAGAAGGTTTGATTTCAAATGAGACTACTCCAACGCTGTAGAAAAAACTTGCTGGATTGGAATATTTCTTTGCAAGCACTGGTACCAATACAGGTGTGTGCTGCACCTTGTCGTAAAGTTGATTTTAACAAGTTGAGATAAGAAGGAGTTAAACAGTCTTGAATATTCTGCTCTTAGAAAAAGGAGACATGCTAATCCAAAATGTCTCCATGGGAGAAAAACTGTCGGGGTCCAAAATTTCAATGGTAAGATTACTGGAAAATGGAGCAAAAAATATTATCTTATTCTACTCTTTCAAGATTACTTTTATCTGGCGTTTCCAAAAATTATCTATGAAGGGTTCTGTAGTCATGACGACAAGTTTCAGGACTCCATATAGTGAATCCTGGTTCACTTTATAACTGAAAGTGAACCAAAGTTCTCCATTTCCTCACCCAAATACAGCTTATCTGAACATGCCAATATGAAGAGCATACTTTTCCCTTGGAAGATCAGAATGAAATACATTCTTTAAGTGACCTGTGTGGAAACCAAGACCTATCATAAGATTAGGAAAACATTTTAATTTGGGGAAGGAGGTAAAAGGTTTATTTGCTTTCATTTAGGATTAAATATGAGATGCTTTGCGTAAGTTTTTAGTATTTATAAAAATAAGTGATAACTTAGGAGACAACTATAGAAGCTTTGCTACACCCGAAATAGATTCAAATCATCATTCAAGTTTTGTCACAAGTTCTGCCAATGCACCTCAAACCTGATCTGCAGTACCCCCATTTCTGCAGTCCAAGATTTTTCCTGAACAATTACGTGGAAGCTTGTGATATGGACAAATATTCACTAAGAACCAGGTAAAAGCTCGCTCTCATTTTCTCTTGTGGCCTAAAACAAGATTTCATTACAGATCTCCAGAGATAAAATAATGAACTACTAACCCATTTCACAATCTAACCTTCTTTCATCATACAACTCTACTAATACACATTAATCTTGACCTTCAGTAACTCTGGTATTCCAGTTTCAGGACTGTCCTGGTGAGCCATTGCCAGCCACCAGGTTGTGTGGTGGTTTTCTGAGCTGCGATAATTTTATTACGTGAACAAGGGTGTAAACAAGCTCAAAGGAGAGGCCATATTTATTTTGCTGTTGACTAAGGCTGTTTTGAACACAGGTTGACAGCACCGAAAACTGTTTACACATAAGCGTAAGTAATTTTCTGTGCAAATTCAGAAAAACAGAATTTCAAGCCTCAATGAAGCTCAAATTAAGGTGCCACAGATATTCCTCCAGATATTACCCTATATATTCTGCAGAACAAGTGCAGTTTCAGGCTTCCCTCTCATCATCACATTTATTCACAAGGAAAGTCCCACATCTTTGAGATGAAGAGCACATAAAACCTCTCTAACATTATAATAGTGCTCTAATACAGATTTGACATACATGGGTCCCAAACAATGCACTGCAGAAAAGTTTTAGACTTCCTTAATAGATTGCCTCGTTTCTAACTTAAAACTAAAATAAATTCAAAGTGACAGTATCTTAAGCTGTAAGTGAATGCATTCTTGAATTCTAGTCATCTGAGCACAGCAGTGAAAAGATAGGAACACCTGAGCTCTTATCCCATTTTAGCATCAACACCTTTTGTCACAACCTGTTTCACTGCCACCCATCAGTAAACTGGCAACACATACCTATTTCACAAGTGCGTTCTGAGGATTATAATTGAGAATTTCTCAGAAGACAAAAGATCTAGATTAGGGACTAAATTTTGTGACTTCCGCAAAATGGTGATAAATATTTTGAAAGACTGTACATTTCAGCCATGAAGAAACACAGACCCAATGCCTGATTCTTTTCACATTTACCCTGGTTTTACCTAGTTTAATTCCACTAACTTCAATGGAAGTTACGCCTGAGGTACTACAGTATGAGAAGAGAACAAGGCCTAAGTTCATTTTCAATAATATAGTGGTTAAAAATGTCTAATGATTTTTTTAAATAAAAAAAGAGTTTTAATTTAAATTAGATTTTTTTTAAATTACCTATTTAAAATGTAATTTCAAATTGACAACTTATATTAATAAGGCCTTAAGTCACTATAATCTACTAAAATAATTTAAACTAAATAAAAAATATAATATGTGATATGTTTGCTGCTAAATTTTAAAGAAAGTCAGACCACAGAACTGGTGGAAGTCACTGGTTTAGCACCTGGAACAAGAGTTTGTAGAAGTGCTAAACCAGTTTTTGGACAGCAATAGCCTCTTCTGAAGGTGCAGAGAGAATACTTTCTTTATTTCAATTTATTCAACTAGTTTAGTTCAATGACTGTCTCCTTCAAAGCTGAGAAACCAACTGGGAATTGAAAACGCATGAGAAAATGAGATCTACTAGTTCTAATATCTTGAAGGACATGGTGACCAGCCACAGTCAGTTAAATTCACTAACTACAGAAAAAACTTCCTTTGTTTAATAAAGCAGTTTGTTTTCAAGGCAAAACACGTTTTGATAAACTGTTTTTCCCTTATGTATTCAGCACAAGTAGTATTAAATTTAAAATGCCATTTCTGTGCATTTAAAATTCAATTTGAATTTCCATCCAATTAGAGCATGACACAAATTGCAAGTAAAAAATTAAATCTAGTAAATAAGAAATGCATCATTCACTATTTTCTAAGAATAGAAAGGTAAGAATGAAGAACCTAAATAAATGTAAGTTAAGCTATGCAATTGCTTAAATAAATGAACATAGATATAGTGTATCCTCCTGGTTAGCAAAAAGCAGCATTAAATTTAGTGTAAAGGCTATATTTAGTTGCAATCAACATGTTTTAATGGTTGCCAGCCAGTGAGAATCAACCTTTCTTCAGGAAAATAATGAAAAAGTACATGCAAAACATGATTAAAATTGATTATTTAAATCAAGGTTTCCTGCATGTTCATTTAAACTGATTCAAATTGGCAATGTAAATCAACCCACCCTGTTCAGAAATGACAGGAAGTTCACGTTATTCATATTATTAAAGGGGTAGACTATTATGCCATTATATGTAACAGAAAGTCTTCAGAAGCTATTACAAGTTTTTCCTCTTATGAGGTTCAGTAATGTGTTAATCTTTAAAATAATTAATTATATGAGATTATTATTTTATTTACTAGTAAAAGCCTATGTAATTTTCTAGAATGAACTTTGGAAGACTAACTAAACTCCTAATATATTAAGCACAGAAAACTGTTTTTATTCCTCATGTGACATAAAGGTGAGTAGTTAACACCACACTGAAGGAGGAGATCAATTTGGTACTCACTGTTAGTAAATTTTCTATTAGCTACATAAAGCACAGTCAAAATTGGTATTTGGCCACAAGAAGTGAATGGGATGGCAACATCTTGTGACGGACTATGCTACTTTTTATGTAGGTGCAAACTTTGAAATGTTTAATTTCATAAATTAACAGTCCTCAAGTGTCAGTGTTTTTGAGGTCAAACTAGATGATCACAAACATCCCTTCTGGCCTTTAAAACAAAACAAAAAGGTAAACAAAAAAATCAATGACTCTCAAAGTTATGATCTACAAATTCACTCAGTTATATATAGAATCATAGAATATCAGGGTTGGAAGGGCCCTCAGGAGATCATCTAGTCCAAACCCCTGCTCAAAGCAGGACCAATCCCCAGACAGATTTTTGCCCCAAAGCCCTAAATGGCCCCCTCAAGGATTGAACTGACAACCCTGGGTTTAGCAGGCCAATGCTAAAACCACTGAGCTATCCCTCCCCACAGTAGCCAAAGATGTTAATATCAGACATCTGTTTGGTGTGCAGGCTGAATCAAGTTGGAGGTCTCAGTACAACTGTTGTCCACATCACACTGGCACCTTTGTTGTCAAACAAGCCAAGAACTGAGTGAAACTGAGGACAGAACCACCTTCTCACCCCAAGTATGTTCCCTCCAGTTTTATAAATGAAGCATGGTGGCAGGACAACATGAAAAAGAGAACTTTAGTCTCAAATGCTGCAACACAAACACCTTAAATGAGCTCTCACTAAAATGTAGTTGTGTATCTAGCTGCACATGCACCATGCTAAAAATATACCAATACAATAAAATAAATACAGCATTTCTAAATATTTACACCTCTCTGTGTATGTTACAGATTAAAATGCTTAAATGCCTAATGTGTGCTTTCATTTGCCACATTGCTCTAATACCACAATTTATTTTTGTTTGTGTTTTACAGTTCAATATTCTACAAGTTCCTCCAACATGTGATCTTTTTAGATGGCAAAAGCAACTAGCTTTTTTTTAATGTATTCGTTATCAGAATGTTGCACAAAAAGAGAAAAACCCAGAATTTACATTAAAAAGAAGAGTCTCTACATTCAGATGGCCAGTGGCCAAACAAGTTCTCTCTTGCCTATATGAGCTGGCCAGAGAAATAAAAAATGATCAGCACACTCTGATCATATTTGAATTAAGTGCTAGCAACCCATATTGTGGTTATTGCATCCCCGCAAATTTAACATGGTGAAGGTAAAGGAAAGTCTTCACTCCTTCCTCTTGCTGAACAGGAGAGATGCCCCTCACGGAGTCCAGATGACAGTGGGATTCCAGCTGTCAGTTCTTAGAACTCTGGACACACAAAATCCCATGGCTGGGCTTTGGGTACATCTATTAAGGTGACTTCAGATCCTTCAAGTTCCTGAAAGCTCTGCCTCTTGTCCAGGAAAGAGGCTGATTGGGAGAAAGGGGAAAACAATGAAATCTGAGCCTGAAAGAGAATGAGATTTCCTTAAGTGTATTGAGCAGTCTGCTCCTTAGTCTGAAAGGGACTGTGGCTGTAACAGGAATGATCAGAGAAGTAAACTGAATGAAACAATCTATAAAAAGTAAGAAGAGCAAAGAAAATTTACTCAGGACTCAGTTTGTGAGTAGCATAGGAATCACAACTATTACTCAAGTCTGGATCTGTAAAAACCAACAGAGAGTCCTGTGGCACCTTTAAGACTAACAGATGTATTGGAGCATAAGCTTTCGTGGGTGAATGCCCACTTCGTTGGATGCATGCTTATGCTCCAATACATCTGTTAGTCTTAAAGGTGCCACAGGACTCTCTGTTGCTTTTTACAACTATTACTGTAACCCAGAACTGTGCAGGACCAAACTAGAACACTGCATTCTCCTCCTTCTGTTCCAACTTCTGTTCATCATTCCTTCCAAAATAATGCAATGGTCCAGAGTCTAAACATTTACATGAGGTAGACACAAGGACTTATACAGCAGGCCTGATATATGGGAGACAAGGCAACACATTAAGGAATCCTACCTGATAATCTCTGCTAAAATTGTGTGGCTGACCTATTCATTTATAATATTTCAAGTATGATTTGTAATTTACATGAAATGAAGTTTGTAGCAAAATGTTAAATGAATAAATAATACAAAATAAAGAATTGTTAGTGCTGCCCACACTGGGGTGGAGGGCTGGAAGCATGTTGAAATTAAAACATACCTATTACCTAATGTCACAGGAGTAGAGCAGTATAATAAAATTGTGTCAATTTCATTTTTAATCTTTCTAAGTCACTGGCTCTTGTCTATTTTATAGAAAGGAAACACATGAACAAGGTCTGCTTTAAGGCTTTCATAGTCTCCGTGTGATAGTCCAAATCAGAGCACTTCACAGATACAATCACTAAAAACATACTTTCCCCCACTCTGAGCTTTCATTTACCTAATCAAAAATGACTAGGAACTCATGGCTTGATTTTCAGAAGCCCTCAGCATCCACTGCTCCTGTTGAAGTCAGTGGGAGCTGAAGCTACTCAGCATCTTTTAATAATCAGATCTCTTTAGTCATAATAATGATGGACAGGAGTCCAACAAGTCTTTGGGAGGCAAGTTGGGCTACTCTCCACTGTAAAGATCAATTAGGAGCGTATATACCAAACTATTTGCTGACATATGTGGCTGAATACTAACAGCTTAAGCAACACTGACTAACTTCATGATCTTAGCACCTTTGAGTATATCTTTATACTCAAATTAATGAAGACAAGTTTGGCATAGTATTTCCCAATTTGTTTCCAATATCATGAAATGCACAATTGGTAAACCGCATATTGTGATGTTCCTAGAATGGCAAAATATTGATTGTTGCTGACAAGCTTTTGTTGACGATATCCTATAAGTAACAGTTTCACTATGAAGAAGTATTTTTCCTGTGGATGGTTGTTATGATATCCATGACTGTCAAAAGTACAGCTCTGTGAATTGCTTATGAGAGAGTAAGAATTTATTTTTTATGTTCATGTGTTAAAAAAGGAATTGAAGTCAGTAGTGTTTTGCAGCCCCATCAAGCAGGTGTGTCTGAACAGTTAAAGAATTAGCAGATGCCTACAAGCAGGAACATATCAGGTTGTCTTTTTGGGTGGAGACCATATGACTATCAGGAAATAAGCAGGATATTATTTTACTCTCCCACTTAGGTAATTATCAAAATCTGAAGTAAAACACATAGGTTGTAAGATTTTGTTTACCACTTGAAAGAAGTCAGCACAAACATAATATAGGCTATTTCACCTACAGATATAAACCAAAATTCACAACCCTTGCTAGATAGAAACTCTGTAACTGCTCAAAGATATTAAAGGAAGTAGAAACTATTTACCTACAAAGTCCAACATAGTCTTTCTGCTCAGAAGTTTTCAGTTATGACTACTATTAGATTAAATGAAAAAGAGGGGGATAAAGCTTGCACCTAACAAACTGGTGTTTCTGGACTGGCACAGAAGTGAAATGGGGTACAGAAACCTCCTATGACAAACAAGCCTACTTTTCTTGTGGTGGAGGTTCAGAGACAACTACTTTTAAAAGCAAAGTCACAAGACCTCAGAGAAAAGGGGCAGAGGAGGTCAGAATCCTTTCTAGCACTATCATGGCTGTTGCAGCATTATATTTATTAATCCTTCCCTTTTTTCTGTCTGCAGTCTCCATTTTCTCCTCAGCAACCATGCCTGCTGGCCCAAGGCTCTTCAGTCTCTCCTCTGCAGGAGACACCAGATCTGTCTGTATCTCCTCATAGTGAGGTGATACAGCTTTCATTAAAGTTTTTAGTTACTATGGATATGGTCTTTTGCATGCAAAAGTGAATGAGGAGGGTGAAAACGAGATGAAGGCCTTGATGTCACCTTTGCAAAGAGAGACTTCTTGAATGTTCTCTTCCTCTCCTCCCCTCCCACCAACCTGTCTGGGAAAATAGGTTTTCTTCCATACCATCCTGTTTGCAGTAGGTCCCTTCGCCTCAGCAGAAAGCTGTCACAAACCTCCCGCCTTCAGCAGACACACACACATTCTCCTGACATATATTGTTCCAATCCATCTAACACACCCATGAGGGAGATAACCTCAAATGACCACCCTGCTATCCCAAGGACCAGCTTAACCCCCCCCCCCACCTTGCCTATTAGCAACCCCCACAATCTGCACTCCAAACCCCTTTTAATCTGCCGAGGGGAAAAGCAGCTTCCCATCCCCCGTCCCCGCCCTGGTGGAGAAGCCAGGTCCGCTGCCCGCACCCCTTCTCTGCCTCATAGGCAGCCAGCACCAACACGCCCCCTTGCCCAGCGTGCAGCCAGCTCCGTTCCGCTCGCTTCCCCTCCCCTCCCCCCCCGCCCAGGGGGCAGCCAGCTCCAACCTCAGCCTCCCTCTCTGCCTGCACCGCCCCGCACCCGCCCTCTCAGCGGGCAGCAGCTCCCACCTCGCCAGTCTTCCCCCAGCCGCCTCGCCCACTTGCCGGATGGGCAGCCAGCTCCAATCCCTCTCCCTCCGCCGCCTTCCTGCCCGCTGGGGACCAGCCCCCGCCGACCTCCCGTATGTTGGGGCCCGGCTCCAACCCAGCCCCCGCCCCTCCACCCTGCCTCCGGCCCAGGCGCGGCTGGGGGGGGAGGGGCGCCTGGTGGGTGCGAGGGGCAGGGGCGACCCAGACTCTGCCGTCGCCCCGCGCCTGCCCTGCGAGGGGCGGAAGCAGGCTCAGCCTAGGCAGGGCGAGAGCAGGCCCGGCCGCGCCGTCCCCTCGCGTGGGCGGGGGGGAGCCGGGGCCAGCCCGTGTCTCCGGCACCTGAAGCGCGGCCTGCTCCGGGGGCGGCGGGGAGCAGCCCGTCCCCTCGCACGCACTCACCGCCGGGTTCGCCATTACACGGCGGCGGCCGCCTGGCCGGCACGCGTGGGGAGAGATGCCCCGCGCCTGACAGCTCCCTGCCTCGGCCAGACTACGGGGGAACGGGGCGGCGGCGGCTCCCCTCCCCCCTCGGGGAATCCCCCTGCCGCTCCGGCCCCGCGGGGTGCGCAGGCAACGGCTGGCTGGGGGCACCACTTACCGGCTGGCTGGCACAGGCCCGGGAGGAGGAGCGGGAGGAGGCGGCGCGGCGTGATTTGCTCTTCCCCCGCCCGGGCAGGGAAACAGGAGGGCTATTGGCGAAGTTTCACTAGCTCCGCGCCGCGACCCCACCAGCCCCAGCGAACCCGAGGGGACGGGCTGGGGGGGGTACATTTGCATATTTGTCACCCACTCGCTGATTGGCCGCCCGGCCGGGGCCGCCTCCGCTGGCTGACACGGTGCCTCCGCGGGAGGGAGGGAGGAGAGCGGGTCTGCGAGCCGGGGAGGAGTGAGCGAGCGAGGGGTGTGAGGAGGCGAGGAGCGCGCGAGTCTCCTTCCTCGGGACACCTTCTCCTCACGCTTCTACAGCCCGCAGGGGCGGGGGTCGCCGCCCTGGGCGGGGAGGGGGGTGGGGCGGGAGCATCCAGGCAGATGAAAGAATCAGAGCCGCTGATAAAATGGTGCGTGAGAGCAGCGATGCGCTGATCCAATATGGCCCCCTTCACTGACAGAAGCCAATCCCGGGCGCGTTTACTCTGGAGGTTCCCGCAGAGACCTGGATGCTGGGGAAAGCCAAGGGGCGAGCGCGGCGCGGCGCTCCGGCGGACAGTGGCGCCCTCTTGCAGCTGCGGGCGGCCGCGGCCTCCTTTCCACCCGCCGGTCCTAGCCCTGCTGCCATGGCTCGCACCTGCTGTGCCAACGTGCGGGGAGAGGGGAAAGGGGTTATCCCCCGGGGTAAGGACCCCTTCGGCTCACGTGCAGGCCCGTTAAATACCGACCGCCTCATCGCCCACCCCACAGTTTTCCTCATAAAAAACTCCCGGGGCTGTCTCCTCTCGAAAGCCCGGGGCACCCCGCTGCCTGACGAATGCAGCTGCAGGGGGGACATGCTGCGTGCGGCGGAGTAAATCCTGTCTGCGTGACGCTGCAGTTCTGGCGGTAGGGGCAGGGGCTCCGCCGGCGGGGTTCTCTGCTACCAGTTACTCCCCTGCAGCAGGGATGCGCTCTGGCTGTGCCTGACTTTTAGTTCAGTCAGAAAACTGCACTAGTGTTTCCACTTCATTTTAAGCTAAGAAAGATACTTACCACTGCTTGGTTCCTAGGGTCCAGGCGTAGGAAGGGTGCACACCAGCCTCAATACTCATACTCGTGTAAGGCCTCTATCACTGTGCTAACAGCTGTGACAGTATATCTATTTCTACATGCAAAAACAAAAAAAACTCCACACATTTGTAGATGCACATTATAGTTCTTTAAACTTGTGCTAATACCCACCCACTTTTGTAAGGCTCTGAGAAATATGGTTGAAAAGTGTGATTTAAGGACAAAATTAAACAGACAGTACTTGATGTACAAATACATTTTTTATGTGCATCATTTACTCGAGGACATTTGAAAATGTCTCTTAAATTATAGGTCTCCCCACCAAGAAATTAAGCTACAGTTTTAACTCTCTATGATCCATGGATTCTCCTGTCTGAAATGTCTTCCATCCTCAGTATTTTTGTCATTAGTCCATTAACAAAATATTTTATATACCTGATACCATGTATAACATTTATGTATCACAATAATGTCACTTTAAAGAATGGATCATGCATTTTCTGAATAGCTCAATTAAATTTCAATATATGCATATTGGAATATTATATGGATCTTAATTTGTTGTACTTGTTTGTGTATTAATTTGAGACAAATTTTAAATGTGATACTTGGATACCCCTACTTCAGTAATTCTTTTTCCTTCAGTAAGGAAAGGTTTTAATCCTATGTAAAAGTTTCTAAGCTTGTAAATTCTCCGCTACGTACTAGTCCTGATTAATTATCCCCCATTTACTTCCTAATCCCACTCCCACACTATCAACTGCTCCTTCCATACAATATTTTGGGAAATAACATAGCGAGTTTTTCCAATGATTTCTTACCTCCCAAAAGAAATGAACCAGCACTCCACTCACTCATCCTTCAAAGCAAAATAGATAAATGAACACACATAGGGAGAGAAAGCATGTATTATTTTATAATCATTTCAAATTGCCATTAGTCAGCCAGTTGTCCCACTTCTGTAATGTGGCTGTCAGCACTATTATAATTTTGGTAAATATTCTCAGAGCTGTAGCCAGGCAGAATGGTAGAGCCTTAAACTAAAAATACTGGCCCAGAATGGCATTACATGTGAGTCACTAGTACAATTGAAGATTAGGAACATGGAAATAGTCACTTTGTATTTTGCTCACTCATTGCCAGGATGAACTGCAAAGATCCCATTTGGAAGCTTGATGCTGTGAATAGGAAGTTCATCTTCATAAAGTCTAAAAAATGCTTTATTGTTTTCTTGATGGAGGAACCTACAATTCTGGTCCTCTAGGACTTAGACAATGGTTTCAGTCTTCAACTGGTGGTTCAGGGTGTTTTGAATCCCTTCCTTTTTGTATGAGTTGGAGGTGGACAAATATGTATAACATTGATTCAAAGGTTTGATACCACCTCTTATGATAGAACCAATGTACTATGATTTCCAGGAACCACTGGTTCACCATCATTTGAATTAATGTGTTAAAGAGGACCGCTGTCTTGGTCTGAAGCCCACTGAAGTCAAGGGAAAGGTTCCCAGTAGCCACTGGGCTTTGGATCAGTCCCTAGAGTCCATTAGTGGCCATATGGAGTACTCTATGGCTAAAAATCATGGTGTCTGAAGAGCAAGTAATAGTTGGGGAAGGAGGTGGGGTTAGGAAGAGAGCTGATGAGCAAACTGTGGCTGAAGGTGCAAAAGGTGGTAAAATATTGTCTGGAAATGATAGGCTTATAAATGGAAATTAAACAATGGGGGGACCTTCTGCTGGAATTGCATTCTGGCTGCTACCCTCTACCCGAGCTGTGCCTTCCATTCTACCTCATGCTAGGGATCTGCTACACTTTAACTTTAAGCAGGAACTAGCAAAGGGACTGCAATCAGGGATTGCTGAAAGGAGTTTCTCACTGATGTGAGAGCTTATTTGGAGCAGTAGCAGTCATGAGGTTTCTTTCTAAGTAACAGTGAGGGCAATTAAGCAGAGAGGAGGTCTTTTCTGGCTCTCTTTTGATTGATTGAGTTATCATTTGAATCCCAGCACATGTAGAGCTTCTGTAGGCTAGGGAGCCAAGCATTTCTAAAAGGCCAGAAACCTCCAAGAAAAATGCCTTGGAGTGGCAAAGGGGGAAGGCAAAGCTTCAAGTAACTAAATGCTTTCCTAGCTGTAACTCCAGACAGCAGGAGGTCTGCACACTCTTGAAACTGCCAAGAGACATACTGAACTGGGAATTTTCCCAGAAGGAGAGTCCAAACCTCTTCATGACTGACAAGTCCAGCCTCCTGGCGCTGCAAACAGAGGAAGCACCACTGAGGGAATGACAAATCTGGATATAATGAAGAACACGTGTTTATAAAGAGGGTTTTTAAACATCAATGGCTGGAGCTTGGCTGGTATTAATCTGTGTAGTTCCACTGACTTCCAGTTGAGGATCTGGCTCCAAAACTATATCACTTGCACCCACAAAACTATAGGTGAAAAATCACCTGTGCCTTTTTGAAAATGTGGCATTACAAATAACTTCATAAACTCATCAGCATTGCTATTCTTTACAGATGCAACTCTTCTCTCCTGAAAAATCCCAACTTCTTTTTTGTAATTTTGTCATTTCATAGTCAGAATTCATCTACTGTATATTCCTCTGGTCTAGCTGTTTGCTGTCAGACTACCACATATGCCAATATAAGCATTATTTAATTAATGAATAATTGTTGATTTATTGTGCCTAAGAGATGAGCAAATTATAGAAATGGACATAAATGTATAATTCCTTTTATTGTACAAATTAGGAAGATATAATACAGAAAGGAAATTATATGCCACAGAACCAATTTAATAAATTCTTGCTTCCTAAGGCATAAATATATTGGAGCAGATTAGATGGATTTAATTCAATTGCACGTAGTGAAATTAGATCATTACTAGTGTAACTCTCAAATGCTTGTATATTATAACCTTAATAACTTGACCCTCAGAAAATAGTGTTATGTTAGCAACTATTTTTGGCAGCCAGAACTGTAGGCACCTAGACACAAGCTTTCTTTGACCCCATTATTGCACACAGGCAAAATGGGTATTTTTACTATCTTTTTGGTAGTAACTGTATATTCCTATTTTAAATGTTTTGTGCCTTGAGTCAATAATTGAAACTTTTCAATGGTATGTCAAAGAGATGACCTTCTTATGACTTATTCTTCAAATTCTTATTACCAAAGCAAACAGATGTCTTGCCTATATTGCTAATTGTATCTTACACTACTAAAGGGAATACTCTTTAAAAATTAACTTTTCAATATTTATGCCCACTGTTTATTTTCACATTTCAGTTTGGAGAATGAAAATAAAGTCAATTTCACTTTTGTTTAGAGTCAGTTTTTGTGCTGCAATATTTGCTTTTCAAACAAGACAGTCCTGGGATGTATTTCTTTGAAGACAACGGTCTTCCTTGATACATTAACATTTTATTGGCTAAATTTTGAACCACATAAAGCTAGCAAAGTCTATTTTTTAAAGAACTTAAAGTAGACTGAAGTAATCCAATAGGCTTTGGATCAGGCCTTTATAGAAAGTAAGATTCTTAGGACATTACTCCTATATGGTGAAAATCACCCCTCTGCAGAGGATCGGTACATGGCCAATTCAAAACACTCCTGTTGACTTTAATGCAATATTGCTAACCTCAAACAAAAATGATGAATCAAGCCCACCCCCTACAATCATGACTGAATTGAAAGAACAAAAAAAAACCACTATACTTTTTAGGCTTATTTACCTTCTGGGTTTTGAAGCTTTACAGTACAATTGGGTCATGTTTTCAAACTTCTCAGTAACCATAAGGGCCAGAAGTTTTCATTATATTAAAATAAAATGAATGGTGTGATTTTAATAGTCACATGACTAAGAGCTGGGTTTTCAA